AAAGTTGTATCGAATCGGCTTACGGGAAATGCACAACGGGCAATCGCGGCTGCTCCACTGATGAATTCATGTATATATCGGTACCAACTTAAGATAATACTGTGGGTGCGGTAAAGGAGTTCATCGCCTACGCTCGTCGGGGCGATGAACGTATATAGTGGCCGGTTCGGAGTCGCTATATCGCGACATTATACGAATATCGACGGCAGAATGCCAGCAGCACTATTGGCGGGTTAAACTCGTCGTTTTAACGCGGCATGAACCGGAGTGCGCTCAATTATTGTGCGCGAATCCGGAAGCGGATAAACGCGCAACACGAGGATAACTCGCGACAGGATTTGGAGATCGAACGATCGAATAAGCGAGGCGCGTTGCACGCGTAAGTATGGTGGACGCAGCTCGACAGTGAGCCAATTAGCTCGACGTATGACGCGCTAATCACGGTCGGTACGGCATAATGACACACAACGATTGGATTTGTAATGGACGATTACTTCTTTGTCTGAACACACTTCCTCTCTGATCAAATCTGAATGACACATTCGCCGCGCTAATAAAGAAACGATATCATTGTTATGACAAATCTACGCCATGTTATTTTGTATGTTCGCCTCAAAATAATATTTATGCAAGTTTCTCAAATATATTGCTAATTTCTTGAATTACAAGTTATATAATAAATTTTTAAATAATTTATTTTTAAAAAAAGCTCGGATATTATTCATTTTAATATTCAAATATTCAAATTATTTTTTTAGAATCTGATTAAATAATTGTTGCATAGAATTGTTGAAATTAATTAAAAATTCACGTTTTTGCATTCATTTTCAATTTAAATTCATAATCTTTTGAAGAATCATAAATTGTTTTTTCGATAATAAATAGTGAGTCTCGATAATAAATAGTGAAATATATAACATTTATTTTGGCAGACGATCTATTTTTGAAAACCAGACAATAAAGATTATTTTATATTACAATTTTATTTTATTATTTAATTAGATTTGCGTGGCTTTTAAAATAAGCAACTAAATTATTGGTTTCATGTAACATGATTTATATATTTCATTGTTAGAGATACATTTTATTTTGCAGAAATAAATATATTATTTGTGAACATATAAATCAAATTTTTCTTCTCGTATTTTCCACTATAAGTAATATGTATCTCATATTTTTAACCCAATAATCCAATCAATAATATTTTAAATATACGAATAATCTTTTACAATATCTTAAATTTGTAATCGTTTATGATAGTGAAATTATATGTCTATTTCCATATTCTTATAAAGAGGAGGATAAATATCTTTAACATATAAATTCCTGAGTTATAAACACACCACACACACCACACACACACACACACACACACACACACACACACACACACACACACACACACACACACAATTAGTTTATTAAAAATGCAATCATGTAATCATTGTATCAAACTGCATCATTACTCATAGTGCGGATGCTGAATTCTAATTGAATATGATGCTCTATAGGAAGGCGAAGAATCGTTAAATAGTAAGCGTGTCGCTCGGACTGCAGTCAAGAATTATGTTGCGCGTAGGTCGCCGGAATCAGAAATGCATTGAGGTTCGTTCGCATCATTTGATTAGTAAGTAACGTATGTCTCGGTGAGATAATCAAGGATAAATCGATCAGATAATGTTACAGACTTTTACATCATACTTCGTTACCGCCGATAAAATTCTGTAGGTTCGTGCACTCAATTCGGAGCAACTCGCAAAGTCCCTAAAGACCATCGCGCGCGCGCGCGCGCGCGCGCATGGAAAATACTCTGAATTTGCATGTAGCAAAGCGCGTCGCCGGAAAATCCGGTAACGAAAGCCATTCAAACTTTTCATATCACGCGGGAAGCGCGTCTCCCGTGCCAAAGGCGACCGTGAAAAGGGGTAATCTTGAGGGTAGGATACGCAAACTCAGGTAATTCGTATCAAAAAGAACGAGTCTCTCTCTCTCTCTCTCTCTCGCCCAATGTTCTTTTTTCTCTCCTTCTCCTCCTCCTCTGATCTCTAACTCGATGCGAATTATTCAGGCGTTGCATTCGAACTCCAGCAAGAAGTGCGCAACGTTAGCACGAACTTGTCGCGAGATAAATGTCACGAAAACGGCTCGCCAGTCAGGATCGGCGTTTCCAGAATTTCCACGATTCCGCGGCGAGGTCGACGGCACGCGAGATGCGGCGTCGAAGTCTCGCGCACGGGAACAATTTTCGGTAACGGTCGGTATGTGGAAATCGATAGACGAATCCTACCAAAATTCGATGGTAATGTCGCGACAATTCCCTTAGGCAAGAAATAAAGATCTTTACCGAATTATATGTGTGCCACGTAGTGTCAGATCTCAATTTCTGGGTATTGAGTTTTATATTTGAAGCAAAAGAAAACGATTGATGTCACCTCGTTACAATTCAAGACGACGTCGGTATGAATGTTACATCACAATATCGAGACGGCATGACGCGACTGCTTTAAATAGGCTAACATTGCCATAAAATTTCTGCTTATATCGTTATTAATTCATATTTCAGAGTCAAGTAGGACAAAGACAACAAAAAAAAACGAATAAACGAAGAAAAATAGCAAATTAATGGGTTTTAATAATAAATTGATACACACATAACCATCTTGGCGTAATATAAATATAATTCCAGTTCTATTTGGAAATTTGGTTTTTAATTCTATTTCAAAGTATAAAACAAACAAAAATAACAAATTAATTAATTTTTAATAACAACTGCATAAATGGTTATTTTGGAATTGCACAATATTTATCCGATGAATAATTAATTTTAATCTCATTTCGTAATGTCGCTAAAATGTAAGAAACGTGTGATGCGAGTGAGACTTAAAACAAAATGAAGAAACAGGAAAACAAGCTGCATCCACGTTTTGCTTGGCTAAAAACAGTGCCTTAGAGTCTCTCTCGCTATATGTTAGCGTGAACGTTCCTTGTTCAACTTTTTTTCGACCTATTCGCCATGCCCTGCCCTCTTTCTCTCTCCCTTTCTCTCACTGAAAAGAACTCTACAAACGTGGAATTTTTACTACATCCCCGCGATGTGGATCCTGACGAGGGTTCGTACGATGTCGCATTAAAGGCGAGCGGCGTTTAAAGGCGACCTCACCAGCACGGAAAAGATGTTTCCAGCCGTGGCAGGAAAGCAGTGGAACTTAATACGTCGCTAGTAACTGTTCGCTTCGTATATCACGGGAAAGCATAAACATTGATGCCACCAGATGCATGGGCATCTAATTACAGTGAATGTATGTACGTCGCATAAAATACGATTTTACTATAAAGAATATTTTCTTATCACTATTTTAACTTTAACCTTATCACTTCGAATATGTTCCTTTCCACGTAAAATTTTGAATCATTAATAGAGTAATAATTTTGGTTACTCGTTTCTATTTGAAACTAATTTTCATTTCTCGTTACCAATCTAGATTTATTATCGTTCGATCGTCTCGATCGTAATTTGAATGTGGAATATTGCAACAAATGAGTAATTAATAATAAACTACTTCGTCATAGTTGTTCGCGCCTTTCGTTCTTTTTGTGCCTGAAAATACGTAAGACAAGATCGAGATGAATTAAAGCTCCAGCACAAAAAAACAATAAAAAAACGGTAAGCGGTAAGAAAATTTATCAATCATAACAATAAATTATTTTACAATCGAATTTTTTTACAATCGAAGAATAATCGTCTGTGATTATTCAATTTTCTTACTGTTTGTATTTTACGGCTTAAGTTTTTTTGTGTGCAGAAGTCTACACGTGAAATATATACCACGGAATTTATTTCCATTCACGCTTACGCCGTCGTTTGCGAATATATCCGAGGAGGTGAGAGTGCGCCCGCGTGCCTTTCGCGTGTGCACGAACGAATATTTAATTACGCAAGTCACGGCTAATTAAATTCATCGTGATGAAGACGGACTACTCGCGGCGGCGACGACGGTCGCGGCTTAATACCACGAACTAGTTGTGGAATTACAGTTCCATTATTGCAGCACATTCGTCTTCCTCCCGATCCGTCGACGTGGAGGTCGACGTTATCCAAGAATCTGCAGCTAGCGGCTTAATGATGCTGACTCGCGAGTGCGCGCCACCTTTCCGCGACTGGCTTATCGGAATTACGACGCACAACAAACTTGTGTCGGCGAGTCGTCTTTCTGTTCAGCAAGGATTTTCAAACTTTTCTACTGCGACTATACTTCCCAAAACCAAAGTTCCGGCCGGTCATGCGACAGACGATATAATCTCTCGGAGACAGACGATATAATCTGCGAGCCAAAGAAACAAATCGAACGACCGAATCTCAGTTATCGCTTCCGTGCCTCGAGATAAAACCAATCTACCTGTCGTAAAAATGTGTGGAGGTAATATAGGTGTGCGTGACATACATAGTGAAAGAGAAAGAACGAGAGAAAAGAGAGCAGAGATTAGTGTTTCTTCGTAGAAAACAGATAACGTCAAATCATATTGTATACTGCGTACGATATTAAATCTAACTGATTTAACGGCAGCTTTTGTTCACTCGACACGAAAAGAAAAACAGCGTTTAAATGAGATAAGAAAATTAAATGGTCTGACACGTGTGCGATGAAAACACGCAGATGGCGATATTTATTGGCGATTAAATAGATTATCCGTCGTGTTTATTTCCTACGACATATATGTACATCTGGCTGCGATCTGATAATAATCGTATCTGCAATCACGCACACACGCTCCGCGAGTTGTCACGTGTTTGAAAAGTCCGACGGACGGTTTGTTTACGATCGTCATCGAGATCATTAATTATGCGCGCGCCTTATCGTCCCGCTCGATTGAGCGACACGCGCGTTTATACGTTCGTCAGTAAACAAAAATATGTGTCAACCCTTCTGGGGCCGTGTTACGCACATGAAACGAGTCGAGTTTTAGCAGCGTGTTCGTTGACAAACGCTGGAAAGACTCACCTTTAGGAAAATTCCAACTCGGGTCGATTCGCTCTGCATTCGCAGGAGATCCGGATGGACGGTCGGTGTCTTCTTTTTTCTTTCGAGGTCAAGATTTACAGCTTGCCTTGAGAACCTTTCTTTCTGTCCACGAATCGTTCGCCCTTCTCTCTCACTGCACTGTCATTTGCCGTACCGCGCTCGCCTTCCCCTCACCTTTCCATCGCCCCTTGCCCCTCGCCCCGTGGTCAATCACTCACAACACAAGCGGGATGCCTCCTGGAGAGTTCCACACGATGAAGACGCAGAAACTCTTAGTACTCGTTCTTTCCCGCTTTCTCTGTCCTGTCGTTCATTCCTGTTGTACCGCGGTGATACACACCGATATCGATTGCATCGAGAGAAATCGCTGTGAGATTAGCGCAACGTAACTAAATCGGCTGGACGGAGACGACGTTGAACGCGAGTCGCGATTGTGAGCGTGTTCCCTCGGGGCGATCTTCGTGCTTGGAGGTTAGGTTCAAGCATCTGGCGTCCTTTCTCGAGCTTCTCGTTTCTCCTGGTCAGACGCCAAAGTCGTACGGCGCATTCGCGACGTGAAGGAAAATGTGACGACATTAACGCGACAAGCGCGCGACCGGTGCCACTCACGACGGCGAGAGCAAATGCGACGTTATCCAAAGCACAGCTCGGAGCCCTCAGCACGGCAGGACCGGCGAAAAACTGCGTGAAAATCCAACCATGCTGACTGCGCGACCGGCGTCAGACTGCCGCGAGAACGGAGCGGGGATTCAGTTGAGTGGCATCGCCCGGTTAGAGGGGTCGTCCGCCCCTCTCTCGCTCACTCGCTCTCTCTCTCTTCGGCCATCTCTTCGTTACTTCAAACTAGTCGGTCGCCGGCCGTTCTGCTCCCACTCTATTTCCCCGCTATTTCCCCCTCCCCAGCTATCCCTTCGGCCGTGCTCGCTCCCACTCGGCTGCCCACCCGGCTTCTCCCACCATTCGAGACTTCTTCTGTGTGTGACTCGGCCCCCCCCCCCCCCCGCCCGCTCCGCGGTCGGGGCAGTGAAAGAGTACTGACGTGAGAGAGACAAAGACGTAGGGAGAGAGAAAGAGACAGATTCGTTGTCGTAATGTCGTGCAAGCGAGACGAACGAGAGAGTTAGTGGTAGTGCATGGTAGAGTGAGCGAGAGAGACGAAGACGAACGAGAGCGAGAACGAGAGCAGGTGACGAGCTTAGCGAAACGAAGACTGCGGCCGATGTTATACGATAGAGAGAACTGCGAAGCGCGTCGTTGACGTCAGACGAAGATGGCGCAGTACGTGAAATGTGAGACAGACAGAGACAAGAGAGAGCGAGCTGGGTGCTTCGACCGTTCTAGCGGGGAAAACGTCGCGAAAAGGATAATGAATGCACCCAGCGACACGACGAAGACATACATGAGCGAAGATACTACATGCGAGACGCACTAGTCGGTAGAACGGAGACGAGAAACGCTTTCATTGTCGCGATGAAGACTTGCCACGCGATGGCCGTCGGCTAGACAGAGACGGCGCGATCAAGCGGAATACGCACGCATGCGCCGCACGCGAGACTCGGCACGCGGTCGCGCCCAAACGCATCGCCTCGCGATCCTCATATTGATGTACTACGCTCTTGCACTCGCGGGGAGCCGATTGCGGCTGTCGCAAATATGATGGGACTCGTAGGCGCTAAACGAACGATGGGTCGTTCTCGTGTGTGCATTCACGTATCATGTCACGTAGAGCTGCGTAGGTGACTATCGCATACGCGAACTCGACTCGAGCTCGTGCTTCGACTGAGCTTTATGTACGTATGTGATGTGTATGTATATGCGCGAGTGTGCATGCGCGTAGCATGCTACTTATTCGCGCGGCTTTTCACGGTGTAATTAGCGTAAAAGGGAATAATTCCGTCAAACCATAGCACGTGTTTATTGATAGCACAGCGATTTATAATGAAAAATCCGTCATTCTTGGGAATATATATATATACACATATATATATATATGTGTGTGTGTGTGTGTGTGTGTGTGTGTGTGTGTGTGTGTGTGTGTGTGTGTGTGTGTGTGTGTT